AGCAGCTTTGCACCCCCATGGAGCCTCTCCTAGCTCCGGAAGGCCCCACAGGAGGGGGTTTGGAGGCCTCTCAGCTGTGAACCCCCAGCAAAGCCACTGTGGGGCCAGGGGGGAAGTGGTGGCTCTGGGGACACAGTTCCCACGGTGGTGATGCCTCAGAGCCACCTCCGCAGCATCGACTCCTTCCGCTGCCTCTGCTCCCATGGGGGAACAGCACAGAGCTTGGGGTGACAGCACAGAGCTTGGGGTGACAGCACTGAGCTGGGGGTGACAGCACAGGGCTTGGGGTGACAGCAGAGAGCTCGGGGTGACAGCACAGAGCTTGGGGTGACAGCACAAAGCTCAGGGTGACAGCACAGAGCTTTGGGTGCTGCTTCCCCTGGGGGTGGGCACAGCCTTCTGGGGCTCCACAACCCCCTGGCAGGAGGTTGGAGTCAGGTCAGGGTTGGTCTCTGCTCCCAGCAGGAGGAGAAGAGGGCACAGACTCAAGCTCTGCCAGGGGAGGGATAGGTTGGATATTAGAAGATATTTTTTATGGAGTGCTCAGACATTGGAATGTGCTGCCCAGGGAGGTGGTGGATTCACCATCCCTGGAGGTTTTCAGGACAAGACTAGATGTGGCACTTAGTGCCATGGCCTAGTAATGACAGTAGGGTTGACTTGATGATCTTGGAGGTCTTTTCCAACCTGGTTGATTCTCTGATTCTGTGATTCTATGAGTTCATGGGGCCCTCACCATCACATTTCCCTGTCTCCCTGTGCCACAGGACCACAGCACCCAACTGTCCCGCACCGGCACCCTCGCTCGGAAGGGAACCAAGTCATCCCTGCAGGCTGCAGGAACCTTGGGGTGAGGATGAGTGTGAGGTTGAAGGCTTTGCCTGTCTCTGTTGCTATGAGCACATAGGTCCCATCCTGATCCATGTGCTGAGCTGTGAACTGGATACTCTCCCTGCAGGAGAAGCACACGTATCCCTGAGCCCATCCAGCCACCTGTGATTCCAGAGGGGAAACTCTCTGCAGCCTCTTCCACCTCCTCCTTGACATCCACCAGGTATCAGCACTGCCAGGAGGTTGGGAGAGCCTAGGGATTCAGGAGAGCCCATGGCATCCCCTGTCATGCTGTTGCTCAGGGGAGTTTCTGCTGCCAAGGGGGTTGGATGGAAAAAATCAGGGATTTGGGAGATTTGCTGCTCTAGCAGTGCTTGTTTCTAGAACAAAAATAGCTTCTTATGGAGAGGGTCCCGGATGGGAAGCACAGGGTGGGGAAAGGGTTTGCACATGGATCTCCTCCCACACCCTGTGCTGGATGGGACAAGGGCTCAGAGTGGGAGGGAGACAGTCCCCAAATCTGACACTGCTGTTCCTTCACTCCAGCTCCAGTGGAGCTCCAGCAGCTCCTGGTGAAGGAATCCCTGTGCTGGGGCCATACCTATCCTCACAGGCACCATCCCTGCCAGGGCCATCCCTGCCAGGACCACCCCCACCACCTCCAGCTGCCATCCCTCCACCC